CGTCCCAGCTTACCCTTCCCCCTCCCCGTGACCTCGAGTCCATTGTCTATACGACTATTCATTCGTAAAGCCAGCAGAGGGAGAAGACAGCCGACTAATGTCTCAAAGTAACCATCTTACAGGGTTTGGATGCCAGTTTCTTTTCTAGCACAGAGAGGGGGAGGAGATGAGGAAGTAAAGTAAAAAGGCCATAAGTTTTGCGAGTATCCCCTGGAATGGCCAGCCTCGGGGAGGGGATGTGTTCATTTCTTCTTTCTTGCAGCCGTGCACAGGTGGACAGGGTCCGGATGCTTCCCTGAACAAAGGCATTTGGTTTAACATTCAGGCAGCGGGACAGGGTTCCCCGAGGCAGGCGGTTCTGTACAGACAGAGTCCTTTAAGTGAACAAAAGCAGCGGCAAGCAAAGGTTAAAGTGAAAGAAACAGGTCCAACATGGAGTCAGATTTGGCTCTTCCCTGTTACATTTTATCCCAAACACGTCAAAAGAAGGAAACTGGATCGATGTCGCTTTTCTCCTGGCCGAGTGCGCTGACGGAAGCCAGGACAGGCGGGCCCCCTACCTACTAGCCCCGGGTGTATCTGTTCTGTGGATGGGGGATGGAGAGAGGGCGTGATGGCATTGCCCCTCTGTCGCTCCTCCCTGTGGGCCTGTCTTTGTTGCTTTGGGTTAAAGATTTCCGTCCTGCATGACTAACAACCCCGCCCCCCCACCTGCAACCCCACGAGCAACCTCCAGGCTGAAGTTTGAATTCCACTCTCCAAGCCTGTGGCTGGTGGGAGGGAGCGGTGGGGGGCGGGGAATGGCCTCTGGGGTGGGACCTGCTGTGGGCCAGTGGGGAGGGGGAGAGCTACCCAGCCTCGCGGGCCCCAGTCCCGCCCCCGCCGTAACACGGAGAGGTCACCCCCTCTGGGAGATGGTGCAGGTGAGGTGCTGCGGCAGGCGTGGCAGAGGGGCATCCCGGCGGTCCAGCCGTGGCCTTAAGATGTTTGACCTGCCTCCCGGGTGTGTTTTTGTTTTTAAATGTGATGGAACTGCACATTTCTTTTTAATTTTTAGTTTTGAATTTATTTTAATTTTTTGGCTGTGTTGGGTCTTCGTTCCTGTGCAAGGGTTTTCTCTAGTTGCGGGGAGTGGGGGCCCTCTTCATCGCGGTGCGCGGGCCTCTCATTATCCCAGCCTCTCTTGTTGAGGAGCACAGGCTCCAGACACGCAGGCTCAGTAGTTGTGCCTCACGGGCTTAGTTGCTCCGCGGCATGTGGGATCTTCCCAGACCAGGGCTCGAACCCGTGTCCCCTGCATTGGCAGGCGGACTCTCAACCACTGCACCACCAGGAAAGCCCCCAGGTGTGTTTGATTTTGAAAAATAAGTTGCTGCCATTGAAACAATTGGGAGATGCCATAGAAACATCTGGATTTCTGGCAGCTCACAAAACATGGGAGGAGCTGGAAAAACCCAAGCCCCGGGGACCTCAGGGGCCCAGAGGGAAGTTGCAACTGCTGCCTTTGTTTTAGGGGGGGTGACCCCTTCCGTTCACCATGTCCTCCCCCACCTCCGTGCTCACCCGAATTGCCCTCTCGGTTGTATGTGTCAGGACTGAGCTGGGGACGGGCCCTCCCTACAGCTGTGCACGAGACTGCCACTCCGTCCCTCCTCCCCTCTCCTGGCCGCCCCGGGATGTGCCCTCATTGGGCTCTGCAGCTCCAGAGCGGGATGTGCCCTCATTGGGCTCTGCAGCTCCAGAGCTGGGGGCTGGGAGGCCCGGATGCTGGCTTCCCCCTCCCTGCATTAAACTTGGGAGAGGCGCGCTCAGGGCCGGCCCCCACCAGGGTCTTGTGGCCTTTTCCCTCGCACTGAAGAGGTCAGCTGTCACCTGTCACAGTGGACCCTCCTGCACCCCGCACCGAACTCCCTCACTTACGTCTTCATTAAAACTGACAAAGGAAACCAATAATAATAATAGTAATAATAATGATAATAATATTAATAATAGTGGCTGCCTCGAAGGATCGTGGTGCTAGTCAGGGAAGTGACAGTGCAGTGGAGAGTCTAGAACAAGCACCTGACACACAGGCCAGCTTGGGAAATGCTCGTGTTTTTTTTTTTTTAGTTTTATATTGGAGTATAGTTGATTTACACTGTTGTGTTAGTTTCAGGTGTACAACTAAGTGATTTATATATAGTAGTGTCTATATGTTAATCCCAACCTCCTAATTTCCCTTTGGTAACCGTAAATTTGTTTTCTGTGTCTGTTTCTGTTTTGTAAATAAGTTCATTTGTATCACTTTTTTAGACTCCACATACAAGTGATACGTATGATATTTGTCTTTCTCTGTCTGACTTACTTCACTTAGTATGATCATCTGTAGGTCCATCCATGTTGCTGCAAATGGCATGATTTCATTCTTTTTTATGGCTGAGTAATATTCCACTGTATATGTGTACCACAGCTTCTTCATCCATTCGTCTGTCCATGGGCATTTAGGTTGCTTCCATGACCTGGCTATTGTAAATAGTCCTGCAGTGAACACTGAGGTGCATGTATCTTTTCGAATTAGAGTTTTCTCCGGATACACGCCCAAGGGTGGGATTGCTGGGTCATATGGTAGTTCTATTTTTAGTTTTTTGAGGAACCTCCATACTGTTCTCCATAGTGGCTGCACCAATTTACATTCCCACCAACAGTGTAGGAGGGGTCTCTTTTCTCCATACCCTCTCCAGCAGGGAAATACCCGTTTTTGTTGCTTGGTACGAACCATGTTTACTAGTCACCTTTATTTGCAGGTACTGGATGCTCGGGTTATAAAAATGATCCTTGTGACTCCTGTAGCTGGTAGGAAGACGTGTTTATCAATAAAGGATTGTTACACCTGAAGGCAAGTCTCTGATCTCCTGATATTTTCAAGAGAACCCTGAAGTCCAGGTTTTATGGTAAATCTCCCAGTTTCTTGTTCTTGGCAGTGAGTTCAGCTTTTCTTCATTTAAATGCCACGTAGGTCAAATGAGGCACAGCTGAGGCTATAGAGTCACTGGCCCCATTGTACAGATGGGAAAACTGTGGTTCAGGGCCGACTAACTTGCCCGGAGGGCCCCCGGGTCAGACTCCCTCCAAATCTGCTCCTTCCCAGAGCCTGCCGGTTGGATACATGGGGCTGAGCCTGATCTCCAGCTCCAGGCTTCTGCCTTCTCTGGGGCTGCTGCCCATTGGTTCTGGGACAGTCTGTTTGGGGACAGTGGGGCTGGCTGTCCTTGTCCTGGAAGACCACGTTCAAAGAAAGGGAGAGGGTGACGCAAGCTGCCCAGACATCTAGCTTTGCAACATTGAGCATCTATCTGATGGGCTGGGTCAGGCTGGGCGGGGGCAGGATTGGGGGGACCTCCTGTGTCACTGGGGCAGGGAGCTCCGAGCTGAAGAGCGAAGCAGGGATTAGAGGCCAGTGTATCTGACAGACTCTCCGAGTGAGCTTCAGACCTGTTATCTTCCGCCGTTTAAGGAAATCAAGTTTTGGCCAAGCTTTATAAATCTGGAGATTTAGAGTTTATATAAATTTCTGCCTTGCTGGCTTTTCGTGGAAAACTGCTTCTGTTCTCATCTCCTTCTGCTCTTCCCCTCATAGACCCTGCTCTGGCCATGCTGGCCTCCTTGCTGTTCCTGAATGCTCTGTCTCAGCTCCTCCCTGCCTCAGGGCCTTTGCACGGACTGTGGCTTCTTCATAGACTTACCCACCACCACCAAATACACGTGTTCCCCTCAGTGCCCTTAGTTTTTAATTTTGGTTTAGTTTTGGTCTTTTGTTTTTCCTTACATTTCACCTGCCTTACTCCTCTGTTTAAAATTGCAGCCTTCTTCCCTGTCCCTGCTGTGTTCTCACTATGCCCTGTCACCTAGCGTGCACTTTACCGTAATTATTGAAGACCTTTCCCTTACTGGAATAAGAACCCCACGACGTTGGAGATCTGGGTCTGTCTTGTTCGCTCTCCTATCCCCAGCTCTTAGAAGAGGGCCCGACTTGTAGTAGGTGCTCAATAAATGTGTGTTGACAGACATAGAAAACAAACTTATGATCACCAAAGGGGGAAGTGAGATGGGGAGGGCTAAATTAGGAATTTGGGATTAACAGATACACACTACTATATATAAAGTAGGTAAACAAGAAGGACCTACTGTATAGCACGAGGAACTATACTCAATATATTATAATAACCTATAATAGTAAAGAATGTGAAAAAGAATATATATATATGTAAAATTGAATATTTTGCTGTACACCTGGAACATTGTAAATCAATTATACTAAAGTTTTAAAAAAATGTGTGTTGAATGAATGAGTGAATGAATGAATGACGCATTTGGCACACAGAGCCCACTTTCCGCTGGGTGCCAAGTGCTGTGGTCAAGCAGCGGCCACCTCCTGGTCCCCCAATCAGGCTGCCGTTATGAAAACACATTTTAAAAATAACACATAAGGGCTTCCCTGGTGGCGCAGTGGTTAAGAATCCGCCTGCCAATGCAGGGGGTACGGGTTTGATCTCTGGTCCAGGAAGATCCCACATGCTGCGGAGCAACTAAGCCCGTGTGCCACAACTACTGAAGCTCACGTGCCTAGAACCTGTGCTCTGCAACAAGAGAAGCCACCGCAATGAGAAGCCCGCGCACCGCAATGAACAGTAGCCCCCGCTCGCCGCAACTAGAGAAAGCCCGCGCGCAGCAACAAAGACCCAACACAGCCAAAAATAAAATAAATAAAAAACAAAATAAATTTATAAAAAAAAATACCATGTAAAAATATTACCTATTAACATTAATTATGTCAACTCCAGAGCAGCGTTCCCACCTCCTCCTGCCCCCAGGGCACCCCCCTCCAGGGAGCCCCTTCCCGGATGTGCCTGTGGAGTCTGCAGCACAGGCTGGCACCAGGCAGCTGTTTGGGAGCCGGGTGGGTAGGTGGGCGGGGGCCCTGGCCCTCCTCCTCACGGACCTGTTTTTCTCATCCCCCACAGAATGTGCGCATTGACCCCAGCAGCCTGTCCTTCAACATGTGGAAGGAGATCCCCGTCCCCTTCTACCTCTCTGTCTACTTTTTTGATGTCGTCAACCCCAATGAGATCCTCCAAGGCCAGAAGCCGCAGGTGCGGGAGCGCGGACCCTACGTGTACAGGTGAGGATGGAGGGGGCTGGGCTGGGACTCAGGTCATCACCCCATTTTACAGATGAGAAAACAGGCCCCTCGCAGTAGTGGGGCTTGTTCAGGGTCAATCTGCTTCTCCCAATCTGGTGCTCTAGCGCTTGAGACTTGGAGAGCGACCGCCTGGCTTTGCCACTCAGCAGCTCTCTGACCGTGGGCACAGGCCTTTCCTTCCCTGTGCCTCAGTTTCCCGCTCTGTAAAATGGGGATGACAGTACACACTGTGGGTGGTTATGAGGATTGGATAAGATGCTTAGCGGAAAGCCCAGCACAGTGCCTGGCATGTAGTCAGTGTTCAATAAACATTAGCTGTTAACATATTATTGTTACCTGAGTTCAGCTGCTCGCTGCTCAGAAGGCAAGTGTTGGGACTTCCCTGGCGGTCCAGTGGCTAAGACGCCGAGCTTCCACTGAAGGGGGCACAGTTCCCCTGGTTGGGGTATTAAGATCCTACATGCCGTGAGGCCAGAAAGTAAAAAAAAAAAAGGCAAGTGTTGGTTGGAAAGGAAAGGTTGCTTTATTCAGGAGGCCGGCAACCTGGGGAGAAGGCGGACTCATGTCCAAAAACCAGTTCCAAAGATTCTGCTTGACCATGGAAGTTTTTAAAGGGAAATCGTTTGGGGAGCGGGTCAGAGCCTTCATCACCTCCCACTGTGTGCAAAACTTTCTTCTGATTGGTTGGTGGTGAGGTAACGGGGTGGTGTCCCAGGAATCTTGTGCTCGGCCTGAAGTTACCATCCTCCACCTGGGTGGGGCCCTTAGTTCCTACAGAACAACTCCAAGATATTGTTCTGTGTATCCTTTGAGGGGGAACCAGGACCCTGCCCCAAGGCGGCACTATTGTCTCCTGACTGCTCCTCCTTTGTTTCTGTATCCCCTCCCTCCCCTGATTAGCAACTGTTTGAATCTACCCTTTGGAACTCAGGGGAGGTCCAGGAAGCTGAATGAAGCCTATTTCCTACAAACACAAAATGGGGCACATGGAAAGGATTTGTTGGGGTCCTGCTCCGTTCCATTCTGACCACTGCTGCCACAGCCTCTTCGTTTGATTGTTTTCTTTGAGACGGTGCAGATCTCCAGTGGCTACTGGGCTCGTTGGATTGGCCCGAGCAGTTTTCCAAGAGGCAGGGAGGCCTGTCGGAATACGAGGCCCGATTTCTTGTTCTGCCTGTTGTGCCCTCAGGAAACTGTGACCCTGGCTTAGCTCACCCATGAAAGGCTTCTGTGTCAGAGCTGAGTCTGGTTTGCCAAAGTTCCTATTTATTCCTTCGTTCCGTAAGCGTTTATTGAGTGCCTCCTGTGTGCCAAGCACTGTGCCAGTTCACTGTTTTTGTTTTGTTTTATTAAATATTTATTTATTTATTTGGCTGCACTAGGTCTTAGCTGCGGCAGGCGGGCTTCTTAGTTGCGGCATGCAAACTCCTAGTTGTGGCATGCATTTGGGATCTAGTTCCCGGACCAGGGATCGAACCCAGGCCCCCTGCATTGGGGGAGCAGAGTCTCAGCCGCTGGACCCCCAGGGAAGTTCCCCCGTTCACTGTTAAAGGCAGACAAAAGCCCCTGCCTCACATATAAAGTAGTTTACCTACTTTATATATAGTAGAGCTGACATTTCGATGGGGAGCGGGGAGGGAATAAACAAGTGGACAAGTAGGGTAAAACCAAGCAGCGTAAATGCTGGCGTGTTAGGAGTGAGGGGGATAGCGGGAGAGAGGAAGCCCGAGAACGGGATGGTGTCAGATGGTGAGGACCCCGGAGGCCACAGTAGGAGCTTGGTTTTATCCTGTGTGCAAAGGAGGGTGTGGGCGAGAGGATGACGTGATCTGATTTCCCCTTTCCAAAGATTCTTCTGGATGCTCTGTGGAGAACAGTTTGCAGAACAAGGGAGAATAATGACAGCAGAGCAGCAATGAAACTTGCCGCTGATTTGTAATGTTTTCAATGCATCTGACAACCATTAACTCACTTAATCCTCACAAGTAGGGACCTAATGAAGTAGGTTTTGTTATTACTCCCATTTTATTTTATTTTATTTTTGGCCTCGCCCTGCGGCACGTGGGATCTTAGTTCCCGACCGGGGATTGAACCCGTGCCCCCTGCAACGGAAGTGCGGAGTCTTAACCACTGGACCGGCAGGGAAGTGCCATTACTCCCATTTTGTAGGTGGGAAAACTGAGGCTGGGGTAGTAAATGATGGAGACGGGATTCAAGACCCCACCCTCTGTCTTCAGAGTGCATATTCCTCACCACCATCCTCCCTGCCTACCCCGGAGGAGCAGGGAAGCCCGGGAAGAGACTGATGAGGGACAGCGGCGGCTTGGCCAGGGGGAGGGGGCGTGTTGGGATTTGGTTACAGAGGCTTTGGTGCCGTGTCCTGCAGTGGGCAGGTGGCGGGAGGACAGATGGAGGGGAGGCGGCCAAGCTTGGTGCAGACATCCGAGGGCCTCTGGCTCCCAGGCAGCTGACCTACCGGCTTCCTCGCCCACAGGGAGTTCAGACACAAGAGCAACATCACCTTCAATGACAATGACACGGTGTCCTTCCTCGAGTACCGCAGCTTCCAGTTCCAGCCTGACAAGTCCCGCGGCCTAGAAAGTGACAGTATCGTCATGCCCAACATCCTGGTCTTGGTGAGGCGCCCCTTCTGTCTCTCTGTCTGCCCCCTGCACCGGTCAGTCCCTTGAGAGCACAGCCTGTGGCTCCTGCGGTGGCATTAAGCCCAGTGGGCTTCCTGGGCGCATCCTGGGCTCTGGTTTGGGGATATTGGCCAAAGTCACGGTCTTCCTCTTTTCAGTTCTGCAAATCTAAAATCTCCAAAACGAGGTACTGGCGGGGGGACGCTGAATGGGGGTCCGTGTCGTCGTCTGTGGTGTTTAGGGGGAGGTTAAGGGCAGGGTGTCCGTTCTCTGCAGGTGAGAGTCATTGTAGTAGCTGGATTTACTGCCTGCCATGAGTGTCATGGTCCCCAAGGCCTCCCCCAGGTTCGCTGACTCACTAGGAGGGCCCACAGGATCCAGCAGATGTGGTCCTGCTCTTGGCTGGTTTGGTAGAGTGGAAGGAGACAGAACAGAATCCGCAGAGGGAAGGGGCACGTGGGGTGGAGACCAGACACAGGCTTCCAGAGCCCTGTCCCAGGGGAGTCACACAGTGCACGCTTCGTTCCTTCAGCGGTGACTTGTGACAATACAGGTGGGTGTCCTCCACCAGGAACGCCCACTAGAGACTCAGCGTCCAGGGTGTTTATTGGGGGCTGGTCACGTAGGTCCAGGAAAGCAGGTGGTCCGCGTAAACCACGTTGGTACAGTCCAGGTGCAGTGAGCCCCTCTTAGTTAGGGGGTGGTGAGAGCCCTCCTAAAGCCAGGATCTCAGACACCAGCCAAAGGCCGGCCTGGCCAGGAGGCCTTTCTGGAGAGAGCAGTCTCAGGCCTGCCGGACGAGCATCTCGCTAACACTGCGTGTTAGAACTTGTGCTTAAGGCTGTACACATGTTACCTTGTTTACTTGTCAGCGATCCCATGGTCGTTAGGTACCATTATTTTCTCCATTTGTAGAGGAGGAGAACTGAAGAACAGAGAGGTTAGGTGACTTACCTAAGGTCGCTCAGCTAGTGAGTAGCAGATTAGGGTTTTGAACCTACGAAGTTTGGGCTATGAGTCTGCCCTCTGTGGCACGCAGACTTCCATTCAATCCTCTGTCCACCCAGTTGACGGTCATCAGGCATTTGGTCTGGGCCTGGCCCAGGGCTGGGCTCAGGATCAGACGTAAAGGCACCTGGTAAGTCCGTTGGGTGGACAGAACAGAAGCTCAGAAAATGCAGCCCAAAGCCTTGCAGCTGCCCCCCTCAGAGATACAGATGTTTTGGCAGTGAAGTCATTTTCTCCCACCGAGCCGGTTGGCAAAGACTGTGTGATAACGCCCAGGGCTTAGGAGCGTGTGTGGAAACAGATACTGTCGTTAGGCACGGAACTGGTATGAGCCGTTGGAAGGTAGTGATTTTCAATATAAATTGCGTGTGCCTTTGACCTCAGAAATTTCATAGGTAGGAATTTGTCCTCTTGACAGAATAACACATGTGGGCAAAGATGTTTGTTCTCAAGGATATTTATTTCAGCAACGTTTTCAGAGCAAACATCTAGAAACAACCTAAACGTGTGTTATGTGGAGTTGTGTTGTGATAATCTACCGTGGGTGGGCAGTGGACTAGTATAAAGCCAGCAAAAGGAGGCAGGGCTGCAGGGGGTGTCATGGAACAGTCTCGTAGTTATATCTCACTGGGGAAAAGCAAGGTGCAGAACACATGTGTGAGGCCCCTACTTCTAATATTTCTAAAGGAGAAATACTTGCACGCACGTACCCACTTCCACGCAAGCGCCTTTACGTGCCTAGACCAGGGTGAGCTGCTTCTGTAAAAGGCCAGATAGATATTTGAGGCTTGGACGCCTAGACGTTCTCTGTTGCAGCTGTTCAACTCCGCCAGCATAACACAAAAGCAGTCCAAGACAAAAACATAAATGAGTGGGTGTGGCTATATTCCAATGGAACTGTTTCATGGATACGGAAATGTGAGTTTCATATAATTTTCATGTTTTTCAGAGTAGTCTTCTTTTGTTTTCCTTTCAACCATTTGAAAATATAAAAAAACATTCTTAGCTCCCAGATTGTACAAACACAGGCCGTGGGCTGGCTTTGGCCCACGGGCCATAGTTTGCTGACTGCTGGTGTAGATTCTCTCTGCAGGAATACTCAAGAGCCCAGAGCAGTGGGTTGCCTTCGGGGAGAAGAATAGGAAGAGGGGGGTCAGGGGTCGGAGAGGGACTTTTGCTTTGTATCCTTTTATGATTTTTAAAAACCATCTATTTATTACCTTTAAAAAATCATGACGTAAAGGAGACCCTTGTGAGTTCCCATGGAGTCAGACCTCTATGTTTTAGGAAATGCTGGCTCTGTTCCCTTTTCTACAGGTGGAGATTAGCTTTTGGATGAGATGCCTTTAAAACATAAACCAAGTGCCAAGACAGCATCTCCAGAGGAAAGCAAAAAGTAGAAAATAAATTCACCTAAATTCTAAGCACCCAGATACTGGGTAGAAGAGGTGCTTGGGGTCTTGGAGTTTGGGAGGCGATGCTAAGGAAGTAGAGTCGAGTCTCCATGAAGATTCTTTTGGTTACAAGGTTATAGTAAAAGGTGCTCTAAATTGGCATAAGCAAAAAGGGCATATGTGGGCTCTTGTTACTGAAAGGGCAGGAGTCGGTCTGGTTTCAGATGTGGCTTGATGCAGAGTGCAAACAAGGTTGCCCGGATCTGTGATGGTTCCATGCACTGGCCGACCTGCCCCTCAGGGTGGCTACAGCCTTGCACTCCCCACGTTCAAGGACAGCCACAGGCACTTCCCCTCTCTACCCCACAGTCCCAGCCGACTGGCTCCTTGGGGCTTGTTGGCTGTGATTGGGCTACGTACACATAGAGAGGAACGTTTCTTTCTTACTGTTTTTTTAAAAAATATTTATTTATTTGGCTGCATTGGGTCCTGGTCGCGGCACGTGGGATCTTTCGTTGCGGCGCGCGGGCTTCTCTCTAGTTGTGGTGTGCGGGCTCCAGAGCGCACAGGCTTAGCTGCCCCGCGGCATGTGGGATCTCAGCTCCCCAAACCAGGGATCAACCCCACGTCCCCTGCTCTGGAAGGCGGATTCTTAACCACTGGACCACCAGGGAAGTCCCGAGAGGAATGTTTCTGATTGGCCAGGCCTAAGCCACATGCCTGTCTGTGGGGCTAGGGGTGGAGTTAACTCGGCCTGAACTCAAGAGCACAGGTGGTCCTATTCCTGAAGGATCAGGGAATGGTTCCGGATGACCCAGACGCCCCGCGTGTCCACTGCAGGGACCCTTCTAGGCCTGAACGTTTCTCTAGATGGGCTGTGCCTGGAAGCCTGGCTTGAAGTTCAGGGAGGACAGACCAGCTGTGTCTGGCCTCTAACCCGTGGTGTCCCCTGGCTCTGCAGAGTGCAGCAATGATGATGGAGAATGGGCCCATGAGCCTGAAGCTGATCATGACCTTGGCGTTCAGCACCCTTGGGGAACGTGCCTTCATGAACCGCACTGTCAGCGAGATCATGTGGGGCTATGAGGATCCCCTCATCCACCTCGTCAATAAGTACTTCCCAAACATGTTCCCCTTCAAGGGCAAGTTCGGGTTATTTGCTGAGGTAAGTGTGGCCCAGTGAGAAGTTCGGGGCCTCTGTCTTGTCCTCCACTGACACAGCCTGGGAACCGGTTACCAGCTCGCTTTTGGAGCTGGTTGGGGGCCCAGGAGCTGTGGGTTGTAAATTACAGAAAACTCTAACTCAAACCGGCTTAAGCAAAATAGAGAATTCATTGGCTTATATAATTGAAAACTCTAGGGGTGGTTTCAGTTGCAGCTTGATCCAGGCGCAAATGATGTGACTGTTGCTGAAAGAAAGGGGCGTGGCTGCTGGGGAGGGAGGCGGGTCACAAATGTCAACTATAGCATTGCTCTGAGTTGCCTGCTTTTTCTTAACCTTGACCCCTGCTGACCTAGTAGGGTCAGTGATTGGGATCCTGAATCATGATCTGATGTAGAGGCAGATCCCTGACCTTGGCTCCCTCAACCACAAGTTGTAACCCGCCCCCTGAGTTGCTCCAGCTTCAGCCTCCTTTTGGGGCTCCGCTGATCTGGCGTTGGGGGCAGTGGGAGGGAGAAATCATGATTCTGTTCTGGGCACATGGTAGCTGCTCAGTACATTTTTGACTAGGATGACAGGTTCTGGGTGTGTGGGTAAGTTGGCAAGTTTAAGGTAAGTGACATGATTCTTGTCAAAGCAAACTGTAAACTTGTAAACAAATGAAAGTTATTACCAACTGAGTAGCATGTTAAAACTTATTTTTGAGTATGTATAGTGGAAATCCCAAAATAACAGTCCAGCAGTGACTGTTCAGTGTTCCTGTGGTGGTTTCACACTCTTCAGGGATCTAGAATTCTTCTACTCCTCTGCTCTGCCCTCCTGAGGGTGTGGTTTCCATACTCAAGATTACCACATGGTCCAAGATGGCTGCTAGAGCACCAGCTATCACATCCACATTCTAGGCAACAGCAGGAAGTATGAAGTGGTGGGAGTTTTAGGGGCAGTCAGGGGAGTTGAGGACAAAACAGCATGTCCCAGCTATTTCCCTCTTTAGGAGGGAGAAAACCAATTTCCACTTGCTTTCCATTGCCCAGAACTTGGTCACGTGGCCACACTTAGCTGCAAGGCAATCTGGAAAATGTTACCTTTTAGCTAGTGTGTTGATGCCCTGAGTAAGGTTCGGGTTTTGTTAGGAAGGAGAAAGGGGAGAATGGACTTTGGGTAGTGACTAGCAGTCTCTGATACACTTTGTCTATTATAACTATTGTGTTAGTATCCTTTTGGGTGAGCATTTATTAATAATAATAACGACAACAATAATAATAATAATAAAGCATTTTGAGTTCTTATTATCTCTCAGACACTGTGCTCAGCAGTTTTTACACATTAGCTCTTTTAATATTCTCAGTACCTCTTTGTAGAGGCTCCTGTTACTGTCCCCTTATATTGGCTAAAGTTTGGGTTCATGAAGCTCTAAATGGACGGGTGACAGAATACACAGATATTAGGAAGCCAGAGCAGGCTTTGAACTTGGGCCGTGCTGGCTTAATCAGTCAGTAACCGATGTAGCTATTCGGCCACTCAACAACCCCTATTGAGTTCCTAATGGGTGCTACACCTTACATTGTATGGCGTCCTTGGAAGGGTGCTTTCTAGATTCGACCCAGCAGTCACTCATTTCTTTGTACGCTTTGCATGTTTTCGCTCTGAATTAGAAATCTTTTTCTAAGAAATACCCTCAGAGTGCCAAAGCCTGTGCTTCCTGCCTAGAAAGTACTTGATAAACATCAGGTCCTGTGTGCCTGTATGCTTCAGGATATGCCAGGTTTAGCAGCCCCCAGATCTCAGTGGCTTAAAACAACAAAAGTTTATCTCTTGCTTATATGCCATGTCCAGTGCGGGTGGCCAGTGGGCCTCTGCTCTTGGTTGTCACTCAGGGACCCAGGCTGAGGGAGGCTCCAGCTGGACACACACTTCCCTGGTTTCTGTAGCAGCGACAGAAAGCACGGTGAAATTGCATGCACTGGCCTCAAAGCTCCCACCTGGAAGTGACAAACCACTTCTCTCCTCATTGATCGTTTTCACTGATCAAAGAGGTCACGTGGCCATGCTTTATTTTAATTTTGGGGGAGTAATGGGGTGGCCCTACTATTCACCTAGGAGGAGAACCAGACTCTCCTAGAGTCTGGGAGGGAAGGTGGGACTCTTTCCAGGACGGATGCTGTCATCAGGGGAGTGTCCCTCCTAGAAAGCCCCCAAGTCTTCCTCCTCTTGACCCCCAGTTGCTGGGGATGCAGCGGTGAACAAGATAACGAGGCCCCTGTCCTCCGGGTGAAGAGGGAGCCGCCTGTAACTAAGCGGGCTGGCTTGACTACTGGTCCCCGGGCCCTTCGCCTCCATCCTGGGGCTTAAAGGTGTCATTCTCTGCCGTTGTCTGCAGCTCAACAACTCTGATTCCGGGCTCTTCACCGTGTTCACGGGGGTCAAAAACTTCAGCAGGATCCATCTCGTGGACAAGTGGAACGGGGTCAGCAAGGTGAGGGCAAGAGGCACTGGCTGTCCCGTACAGGGGCCGGGTAGGGATGGCAGGGGCTGCCAGGGCAGGCCACCCAGTGCACCTTCTTCCTCTTCAACAGGGGTTTGGGATTGACATGTACACACTGCTATATATAAAATAGATAACCAACAAAGACCTACTGTATAGCACAGGAAACGCTGCTCAATATTCTGTAATAACCTAAATGGGAAAAGAGTTTGAAAAAGAATAGATACACGTATATGTAGAACTGAATCACTTTGCTGTACACCTGAAACTAACACAACATTGTTAATCAACTGTGCTCCAATTAACAAAACAAAACAAAACAAAAACAGGAGGGGGTTGCATCCGCAGGGAAGATGCTCTCAGAGTTGGGGATTTTACCTATGTTTAAGGCTCAACTAGGACTTCCCTGGCGGTCCAGTGGTTAAGACTCCGGGCTTCCACTGCAAGGGGCGCGGGTTCAATCCCTGGTCGGGGAAGTTCCACATGCCGCAAGATGTGGCTAAAAACCAAAACAAACAAACAAAAAATCCCCAAACTCTAGCTCTTTGTTCCAGGTGTGTGGGGGGCATAGACACCGATTATTTACGTGTATGCTGGGAACAGAACTGTTTCTTTGATGCCTCACTTACGAGAACGCTTCAAATATTACACTGATGATATAACCATCCATTGCAGTAAAAGATTATTGAGTAAAAAAAAAAATTACGCTAGAAACACAGGAAGACATTCGCATGAAAAAATAAAATAATAGCTATAAAGTGCACTTTGTACGACTTCACACATCCAGCCCCACTCCCTCCTGAGTCACAGAGGAAACCCAGAGTTATCAGCATTGGGTATATTCTTCCTGTCTATTTGTAGCGATTTGCACGTGTGTTTTGTTTGTTTTTTCCTCCTTGGAGCAAAGTGAAATCATCCTATGTGCATAGTTTTGCAACTTGCTTTTTTTACCTGGTGGCCTTTTGTTATCACGCACGAGAATGATTGTGCGGTGGTGGTGCTCACACCTTCCAAACGCTTATCTGCGTGATGGTGGCAAAGACCTGAGCGGGGGGGAACAGGTTATTCCCCATCAGTGCCCAGAGCGGCAGGGTTACCATTTGCAACCATTAGTAACCGTTCCGAATGGGCGCTACTGAAATTCTCTTTGGCTTGCTTTTTCAATATAAAAATGTACAGGGACTTCCCTGGAGGGCCATTGGTTAGGACTCTGTGCTCCCACTGCAGGGGGCCTGGGTTCGATCCCTGGTCGGGGAACTAAGATCCCACAGGCGGCCCAAAAAAAAAAAAAAAATATATATATATATATATATAAATGTACACATGCTTAAAAACCTTCTCCTAGGACAGAGGGGTAGAATGTGAGAAGTCTGTTTTCTCTCTGTGCAGGTCTCACTCCCCAGAGGCAACTACTGTTTTGAGATCTCGTAGCCACCATTATTATTTTAAATATCTTGCTTACTGGGCTACCTTCTAACCTGATCTGTTCTCAGGAAGTGTCCTTCTTCTCTTAGAGGTGAGGAGGTCAGTGTCCCCTGCTCACCGTGCTCCTTGGAGATGTGAGTGATGGGTCCATTTTACAGATGAAGTAACTGAGTCCCCAGCAAAGTTGCACCTTCAGGGATCCATGGTTAGGGAGCGGGGAGCTGCAGTCGACAGTGTTTCTGGCTGTCTACACAGCCTGCTCACCTTGCACCAGGCTGTCTCTCCGAGGGGACAGGCTTCTGTCAAGTGGGTAGTGACATCCCCCAGGGCACGTGGCCCGTGAAGTCACAGCTCCAAGTCAGGTAGGAAATGCCCGAGAGCGTTTCCTTACGAGGCCTTGCGTCCCCACAGGTCAACTTCTGGCATTCCGACCAGTGCAACATGATTAATGGGACTTCCGGGCAGATATGGGCGCCATTTATGACTCCTGGATCCTCGCTGGAATTCTACAGCCCCGAGGCCTGCCGGTAATTGCCCTGACGTGGGACGTTCTGGGCCTCCTGGGAAACCTGCCTTGCGGCCGCTCAGAGCAGAATCAAGCGGCTGTGGTGTGAACTTGCAAAGCGCCCGTCTCTCTGTGTGTGCAGCGGCCTTTGGCGCCATCTTGAATTATCTTTGGTTGCGCCATGAAGGGCAGACGCCAATCGCTGGTGCTTTTGCAAGGCCCAGAGAGAGGCTGCTGGCCGTTGTTGGAGCTCGGTCGTGGTGGGCAGGAAATGAGCAGGATTGCCGGGGACCGTGCGATAAGGCAAGCGATGGGCCCCCTGTGCTGTTTGCTCGGCTGCCCTAATTCCCCGTTGGGTGCTGTGACATCTGGGTGCCTCTCCTGCAGCCCCTCCAGTCTCCAGGGTAGCAGCCTCGGAGGTCAGCTTGGGGCTGAACAACGGCGGTGGCCCCGGCCGAGGGGTGAGAAGAGACAGTGGCTCCTAGAGCTCTTCTCTGGGTGCTGTCCTGTCCTCGGCTTCTCTGTTCAGGCCACTCTGGAAAAACCCTTTGCTTGGGATCTCACTGATGTGAACTCTGACCCACCTGCCTCCCCAGCAAACCCTGATGGAGCCCTGTCTGTGCGAGACACTGGGGTTCCCGCAGAGACAAGATGGTTCCCTGGGAGTCATGTCCTGGCGGGGGACTCAGGCCCACGCACCCCAGGGGAGCGTCAGAGAGCGGAGGCGCTTTTGCTGTGTGTGTGTTCACTTCTTAAAATTAGGAATTTCAACCTAGAGGAAAGTTGCGAGAATGTGCAACTTTCTCCGCATCGACTTCCCCAATTTCCCAGTGGTTTCTCTTTGGCCCCTTCTGCTTTATCCTGATCCCACACTTCTCTCTTTCTCTCTCTCTCCTTCTGTATATTTTTCCTGGACCCTTTGAGAGTACATTGGACGCCTAAATACTTCAGTGGGTGTTTTCTAAAAATGACATTTTCTTACATAACCCCATCATGTCACCAAAATGAGGAAATTTAACATTGACGTGATACTATTGTCTAAGCCAGCACTCTCCAATAAAAATATAATTCAAGTCCCATCTGCAGTTTAAAACTTTCTAGTGGCTGCATTAAAGAAGAGTAGCGAGAAATAGGTGAAATTAATTTTAATGATGTTTTGTTGGACCCAGGAGATCCAAAATGGTATCATTTCACAATGTGTAAACAGATGTAAAATATTGAAGAGCTGTTTTCCATTGTTTGGGGGTATCAAGTCATAGAAATGTGGAGTGCATTTGACACGTAGAGCTGCATCCTGACTTGGACAGGCCCTGTTTCAAGGGCTCTAAGGCCAAGTGTGCTGAGTGGCCCCCGTGGACAGCACGGGTGGAGCAGTTCTGATCCACAGCCCATGTTCAAGGTTAGACGTGCCTTTGAGAAATACGGCAGGGTGAGCAGAAGAGGGAATAGGGTGTCGGCCACGTTGCTGCTGCCTACGGAGCTGACAGCCGCACCGTGACCTGAGTGAAGAACTGAGGTCTGATGTGGGGATGAGGGAGGAACGTTCCAGGCACCAGGAGTAGCAGATACAAAGGCCCTGGGGCAGGATGGAGCATGTGGGAGGAATACCACCTGTGGGGTGCAGTACAGGTAGGCAGGGGCTGGACCCTCTACAAGCTTGTGGGCCATGGTGAGGACATTAGATCTTATTCTAGATTAGACTGGAAGCAATTGCAGTTGTAAGTGGGGTCGCGATATAGTCTGACCTTGTTTTAAAGCTCCGTCTGCTTGCGGAGAATGGATTGGCGTAGGCGGGGGAGGCAGGGAGACCCATAAGGGAGGTCGTTGCAATTCGCCGGGCGAGAGACGGCGGCTGCTGGGACCCGGGGGGTGGCCGTGCCCGTGGGACGTGGCTCAACTCGGGCCACCCACTTCCAGCCAGCCACCTCATTCTGGGGTGTCATCCTCCATCGTTTGTCCCCGCAGGTCCATGAAGCTCATCTACAAGGAGCAGGGGGTGTTCAAAGGCATCCCCACCTTTCGCTTCGTGGCTCCCAACACCTTATTTGCCAACGGGTCCGTCTACCCGCCCAATGAGGGCTTCTGCCCCTGCCGGGAGTCCGGAATTCAGAATGTCAGCACCTGCAGGTTCAGTATGTGTCATTCCCCACGGGAGGGCGGGAGGGTGTGGCCCGTGATGAGGGGCTTATCTGTCTGTTTACTCCGTGGCCTCCATACTCTTGATAATCCCATTAGGCTGGAGATAAATAGGGCAGCAGAAAGATAACCAGAAAAAAAAAAACACGCTTTGGGTATATCGGTTGCTGTCGTAATAAATTCCCAAAAACCTGGTGGCCTAGAACAGCACAAGTTTATGATCTTAAGCAGCTCCGTAGTTCAGGGGTCGGACACAGGCCTCTCCAGGCTAAAATCCAGGTGTCAGCGGGCTGCGTTCCTTTCTGGAGGTTGACGGGGACACTCCGTTTCTCTTGCCTTTCCCAGCTTCTAGAGGCCCCTAGAATCCCTTGCTCAGGTTTCCCTTCCTCTGTCTGCAAAACCAGCAACATCACAAGTCTTTGATCCCACTCCTGTGGTCACATCTCTTTTTCTGAAGCTCTTCTGCTTCCCTTGTCCAGTTTTAAGCGCCCTGGAGACTATATCAGGCCCACCTGGATAATCTAGGCCACTGCTCTCTATTTTTAGCGGATTAGCAGCCTTCATTCCTCCTGCGTCCTAATTCCCTTTGTCGTGTAACCTAACTTATTCACAGGTCCCGGATATGAGGGTGCGGACATCTTCGGGAAGGGCATCGTTCTGCCTCCCAGGTCATGATAGGTGGCTTGAGAGGGAGGCTTCATGGGGAGGACCTTCCACCCCACCTGGGGATGGAAGGAAGCTGGCAGCAGCCTGATGGTTCCGTGAACTCTTGTTCTGCAGTTGTGGGCTTGGATGCGGCCTCTGGCGCTGGCACACTGTCCTCTGACATCGTCAGTGTTTTCCAGCTGTGTGCCAGTCCCCGAGACGGCCCCGCCTCACATGCTCAATTTGGACACTCGGATGTCAGCTCGATTTCCCTCTCCCAACCCTCATCCAGGTCGCCAGCAAGCCCCGTGCGCCCTGCCTGCATCCTTGCTTTCTTCCGTTCCCCCGCCGCCTCGTGGTCCAGGGCCCTTTAGCTGGCCCTCCTCTTGCATTGTGGCCGCCCCGTGTACCATCCGTTTCCCAGACTGTCCAGTGCGGTCACCGCTGGCCTCGTGTGGTTATTTAAATTGAAATCGGGGACTGCCCTGGCGGGCCAGTGGTTAAGACTGCGCTTCCACCGCGGGGAGCACAGGTTCAATCCCTGGTCGGGGAACTAAGATCCTGCAGGCTGCACAGTGCGGCACCCCCGCCCCCCCCCCCAAAAAAAAGATAGATTGAAATTGGTTTGAATGAAATCAAATTAAAAAGGCAGTGCGGGGCTTCCCTGGTGGCGCAGTGGTTGAGAGTCCGCCTGCTGATGCAGGGGACGC